AGTCTGCTACGATTTTGTCGTTATTAAGACGTTGTTTACCCATCCAGTCGTCCTCCACCTAGACTAAGTCTATATGAGAAAGGACCCTTATATTCTTGTATATGTTTTTATAATAAACTTCCAGAATATATAAAAAGCATAAAAACAATACAAGTTTTTAAAACCACCCTTTATGATTATATTTGTGAAATGGATCCATATGCTTTAAGTGATTTTACTACATATGTAAATTTTTCGGCCATGATATCCCACTTTTGCATTCTTTGACTAGTTTCTATTTACTGTTTGTCTGTTTACTGTAACTTTTAAACATTATTTTTGAAATAAACTTTATTATTAATATTATTATTATTATTAATAGCAACAAGCCTTTCACGGTAAATTCAACTTACCTGCTATAAGACAATTGAACAATTATTGCCTACCATTATAGCATAGTTACCATAGTGGAAGCAGATACAATATGTTTACTGAAACCAACAAAAATAAAAATAAAAAAACATTTTATCAAGCTAAGCCTTTGCGACAAACCTAATTTTACTTTAATCAATTTTTGTTTATATTTAAAAAGGCTTAAACAGGGAATCCCAAATAAAATGAACAAATTTAGCTTTTTTAGGGTGCCGTTTATTATATTATGGGTTTTGTCAAAAATGGCGAATGCGCCGGGGTTACTTTGAAATTAAATTTTATTTTACTTTGGAATAGAAAAATATCGTAGGATGTCAGTTATCTCTGGATTTTATTGATTTTTTAACCCAATCAAAGCATTTAAATGATGTTGGCGGAAACCAATCCGATGCACCGATTCAACGTGCTCGTGATTTGGCGGTCAGGCGGAACCGAAACAAGCGACAAAAACTATCTATAGAATCGGTCCTTATTAGTTCCAGCAGTCGTTCCGTATTTCATGCGGCAGCATAGCCTCTATGCCACAGAAAATCTGGTGCATACAACTTGGGCGATGTGGCGCAACCGAGGGCACGAGGAAAGCGCGGCAGGCGCTGCAGCGGCATGCCTCGACCCGCCTGCTGCATATAAATATCGACTGATGTGCTCCTGGATGCAACGGTCACTCGATGCGATGCATCATCGAAATGGTGGTTGCTTAACAGCCGTCGGTTTTCCCTGGTAATATTATGCGGCAAAAACGGCATTAACAACACGGAAGTTTATTCGAGAGTTTACTTATCTTTTACCAGCGTTTTTTGTGGATTTTATCGCTTAAATAGATTATATAAACAACAATAAAATATAATTTAAATTCAAAATATTAATATTAACTGAATCATGAATTACATTATCTGTTCAGCGAACAAATCAGTTTTTAGGTTTATAATGATAATTTTCAAATTAAATTATAAGTTAATGCTAAAAATATCTTAGGATATATTTAATCCAATATAAGTGTTTTATTAATCTGGTTATCTTACGAAAAAAAAATGTTATCTAAATAAACCAAATTACAGATAAAGCTTTATCTTCAATTCAATAGAACTAAGAATATTGAAATTTTAAAAAATAGTATATTGTCGAGCCTTTTAACACAATTTATAAATTGAAAAAAAACCTAAAAACCTTTTAAAACCAAAAATCGTTATAACTTTGTTATTCTTAGGAATTTTAAAACAAAGTAAGTTTTACATGTAAACATACACATTAATCTACATTTTTATCCACATCATGTTTTGAGTTAGGTACCAAACAGGTACCCTCTTTTGTTTTTATAATGGCCACCAGTACCTATGTAGTTTGATCGTTGGATTCCTTAATTTTTTTCTACATAATGTAAAATTTTTATATGGTGTCCATAGGAAAAACAAAAAAAGGTGGTGGTATCTCAAAATCCAGTGAACAAAAAAATCACAATTGGGATGATAATGTAAAACCTACTTTTTTTAAATTCCCAGGAATAACGAAGTTACAACGATTTTTGTTTTTGACAGGTTTTCAGTTTTTTTTTAATTTTTTATCAAACTTTTAAATTCCACTTTAATAGACTTGCAATAAACTTTTGCCTAATTTAACCGACCTAGTAGATCTTTAAGTAATAATACCCACACATAGAAGGATACTACCTAATATATAAACCGACTACACTGAAAAAAATGGGCTGTTGAAACAACAAAAAAAATATTAATTCAACTCTTTATGCACTTTAAATACAAGCAATGGTTTTTGCACGTTTACTTAACCATCTAAAAATGTCAAATTGTATTGTTTAATTGAACAACAAATAACAGTCAAATGAACAAAATAAGAATATTTGTTCTAATCTGCTAATTTGGTTAATTTAACATTCTTAGGGTGTTAAGGTAAATTTCTTGAAATGTCCAGGTAACCTTTTTAGCATATTCACTTAACACCAATAAAATGTTAAATTAACATTCTGAAAATGTAAAATTCTCTAAAGGTTGGTATCCAAAACAAAATTATGGAAATAATATATTATTATATATAAATAGAAAGAATTGAACCTTCACCTCGTCCAGAGTTTTTGTTTTGAGCGTGTTCCACCCATGATACATCTTTGTATCATGTGTTCCACCTACTTCAAATACCGACAGACTGTTTCGCCCTGTATTGAGGGTCTTAACAGTGTCGGGCAATATGGTGTAGTAAAAGTTCTACTGTGGAACACACCTTAAACAAACAGATATCTGATCTTATATACACCTAATCGTAAGCCAACTAAGGCGAGATGTAAGAAAACGTCATTGTCTAATGACGTGGCGTGAGTGTTCGAAGCGCCATTCTCGGCAATTTTATGAATGCAAATTTTACATTTTAAATTTTAAAGTAACATTTTAAATTTGTTAAATGAACAAATTTAAAGTTTTGGATTAAAGAGCAACTAAACGTTAATTTAATAGTTTTTTTAGGTAATCCTAAAAATTTCAGTAGTTGATTCAACAAATTCCAGCTATTAAATCAAAGTACGATAAACATTTTAATTCAAAATATTAGTTTATGTTAAATTAATATTTAAACTGTCAAATGAACAAATAAACTTTGACAAACTCTGACTTTTGCTTTAACACCAAAATATAGATTAATCCAATAGGTTTTTTGTTGAAACAACATTTTTAAAAATGACATTTAGGCAAATGTTAACTCAACTACATTATTTTTTTCGGTGTAGTTTTTTCCGAGTCCCCTATAAAGTTTTTTATGTTAAGACCTTTCTACAAAAATCAGCTCAATAAATTTTGTTAAGGGCTCGCCATAGTACAGTCGTATGCAAATAAAAAGGTACTTCATTCGTAATTATACGAGTTTTTTCAAATTCAGATAAATGACGAGGTATTATTCAATTAGCTGTTAAACTGACGGCAGGTTTACATCTACCGCACTGTATTTTTTATTAAGTGCAGCTCTCATTCTAAGGCTGTACGCTTTTTATTTGCATACGACTGTACTATTTTATAAACAAAAAATAAATGAGTTTCTAAAACTTTCAGCTCAAAATAAGAATTTTTATGGATAGCTAATAAATTTTTGAATATTTTAAGTATTGATTTGGATGTTTTCTAGTGACCTTTAAATACACTGCGCGTCAAAATTAACGTATAATAAGTAAAACAATTTTAACTAAAACGCCTTTACCAATCTTTATGAAATTTTGAATAAAAATAGTTCAACTTATATCTCAGTTTATGTGTTCAAGGGTTTTTTGAGAAAATATTTTTAAAGCCCTTTTATTTAATAATTTATAAAAACGTTAAAAAAATATTAGGACTTAATTTTTATTTTACTTTTAATTTATAATTAACAAAAATACACCACGAGATGAAAAAAAATAAACATAGCATTAAAGGTGTGATTTTCTAATTGCGATAATACTCTTTTTGGATACTAACGCAACCTACGTTTTATACTTTAAATATAAGGTATATTTTTCTTGCCTAGCCATTTGTGGATGTTTTGCAAGCCTATTGGGCGGATAGCATTGTATCCATTAAACACCTACTTTTTTGTCCCTGCAGGGCCCTGGAGGAAATAAATTGTTATCTTTAAATATGTATGATCTTGCTTTGTTTTTCAGATAAAGGGTATTTATTCCTAATCCATAAAAAATCATTTTAATACTTTTATTAATTCTTTAGGAACTCAAAAAATTGCCGTTTTTTTTTTAAAATTACAATATTTCCATTGTCCATTTTTAATATAGACTGTTTATTTCATTTGTTTGTCTTGCATTGTTTTTAAATTATAATTTAAACCGAGTGTTTAACATTTAAAAATGGTAAATTAATGGTTTTATTTCCGTGATTTTTATTGTCATCCTAATCCCCACGCAATTAAAATCCATTGGATATTTGCCAATGTTTCAAAAATTACTTTGCATTATGGAGAAAGATACTATAATGTAAAAATATAAATGAATGTTTTATTAATTATTCTTTAAAAATCATTATTCATAGATTGCTAACAAATTTAGTTTTAGTTAAAACGTACTAAAGCTACTTAAAGCATAGTTTACATTTCCAGTAATAAATTAATTAATAATTTTCTCATTTATTCGTCTGCGTACGATGTCAAAAGGTTTTTGCACCCATTTAAGATGCACTTTAACATCGCGTTATAAGGTAATTGGTTCTGCAGGCTCCTTTGTGCAGAACTTGTTGGTGTCGTTTCGCTATCAAGATTGCCCTTAAGGTGTTTGTCAAGCAATTTAAAGTGCCTTTATTAACATATCCGCTTTGCATACATGCCCAGTTTTTTTTTTTTTTTAGAGAAAATGGGTTTGGAGTAAATAGGTCATACGCCTGTGTGCTTAAATTAATATTTGATGTAAAATCTATTTAAATAGTTGAGTTATTTAATAAAAATATTAGTATTTTTGAATATTTGTTAATCATAAAGCTTATATTATAATCCTTAGAAAGTACGATTAGAAACGTCTGACATTATATTTTGTTTATTTATTTTTGAACAATTATTCATAACTTATTATTTTTGTGTTGGTGGTAAAAAAGTATAGAATCCATTTATTTTTATAAACTCGTGGCTAAAATGTCCTTTATCAATCTTAATGCATAATATACATGTAATGCATTACTACAATTTTTGTTTATGAAATATGCAAGTGCATTTTAATTTATTTATTTTATTTTAACATTTATTTGTATATATCTAATAAGTAGTATTAAATTATTTAATGTATCTAATAAGTAACATGGAACGTTCATGCATAAGTTTCTTTTATTCGCTGGATCTGAGTTTCTATAGTCATAAAGTATTCGTTTTTCTGTTCTCGTACCCCTTCATTTAATGTCCGTAGATCTGAACGAGATACTTGAATCCTTTTCCCCAGTTAGATTGCAATCGTATTTTGACGTACTGCCTTCCGATGCCCCCTGAGAGAATCAAGGCTCGGGCCGTGTTTCCATCGACGAACTGGTTGTAGATCCTAATAGCGTTGATGGTGTCGTGTCGCGCGTATCCTGCCGGCAGGTCCTTTGGGTATTCGATTATTTTCTCTCTGGACGTCCACCAGCGACTTGGCTTGTAGAACACCTAAAACATATATTTTTTTGGGTAAAAGTGTCTCTGTTTTAATCAGGGTTAGAGTTTAATAATAGTAATAATAAACTTTTAACTATAAACTGCGCACCTTTCAATGTGTCGCGACCAAAAAGTTCGATCTTTTTAAAAACGACATAACTTTTTTGTTTCTTGATCGATTTTATTTTGCTCTGTGATGTCTGCTAGCCTCATCCTCTGGTAATTCATGTTATCAAGTAAATTTTGTACAGTGTGATATGTTAAACGGTGAAAAATTTAAATAACTTCATCCAAGCCCCGTTTGTGTTACCTTGAAACGTTTTTCAAGTTTTTCGAATTGGAATATTAGCAACAAGGATATGATTTTTTTTTCGGATTTTATTAAGACATTTAACAGTCGGGAATTGTTTTCGAATTTTGATTCTTGGTGATTTTGGTTTTATCTGAAACTTAAATTTGACAACTGCACAGAAAAAAATATCGTACCTGATATTAATGTCCTACGATCATTAAGTGCAAAATCATTACGATAATGTCCTTTTCATAGTATTAATGCAATCAAGTAATTATGATAATGCTTAAAAAATATGAGTTAATGTATTATTGGATTGTCACAATGTCTGCCTGGTCATTATCCTAGTGCAAGAATTTTATTATTTTTTAGCCAAAATACATTAAGACAATGATATTTTACATTAATACGATGATTATTTACATTAAATCAATAACCTAGAGTACATTAGTTAATCATTGCTCAGTGATAAAATTAATGTCAAGGCTTAATAGATTAATACTTTAAATGGTATAATTTAATAATCTAAAATTATTACATTAATGCCTATATAGACATCAACTTATGTACCCTAGCATGAATATAATGCCCTAACACATTAAATAATACAACAAATCATAACTTTATCGCCAAATACGTTCAGCCAATGTCTAAATACATTAATATTAGGCCCTGTTGTTTCCCACCACCTAAAAATGCAAGTAAGAAAACAATTTAACAACAGTTTAGTATTCCTGTTAATCCTGTTGCGACGTGCTTGCCCGCCCATCCCGATTGTTGTGCGTTTAGGTTTATTATTATATGAAATATAAAAAAGTGCAAGTATTTTTAACCTTTATTTCCCAGAAGAATGTGTCATGGTCTGGTCATTTATTGAAACCTACTTTTTTAAAATGAAGCATTCTAATACAGTTTCCAAAATCTATGTGACTTATAGAATGTAAGTAAGACAATGTTAAAAAGTTAAGGTTTATTTATGTTTCATAAATTTTTTGTAATAAATATAAGGATTTTAAATTACCAAGGGTTTTTATTATTTTTTTATATTAATCTTTAGTTTCATAATATTTACAAAAAGGACTAGAAATATGTAAAGTTCCAGTTCCAGTTTTGCGGTGACCCGGACATAAACCCTGTAGAAAATGTTTGGGAACTTCTGTAAAGGGAACTGGCTAAAGAGAACATCACCACATAAGTAATATAATAGTAATAATTATTAATATATTTTTTTACATATTTCTAGCTCTTTTTGCTAACTGATCAACAAAAAAATTGATTTAATGTTAAAACTTAAGGTAAGTGTAATAATTTATATATATATATATATATATATACATATATACAGGGTATCTCAAAAGTTAAGGACAGCAGAAAAGGGGTGGATAGAGGATGGGATTCTAAGTCGAATGGTCTTTGCCGTTTTTCAATCGACTTAAAATTCCATCCTCTATCCACCCCTTTTCTGCTGTCCTTGACTTTTGAGATACCCTGTATATATATATATATATATATCGATCCATTCCGGTATACCAATCTCGATATATCGATTTATCGATATTTTTCCATCCCTTAATTCAGTCCTACTATTAATGCTTCTTTGCATTATGATAATGCTAACAGATAATTAATTAATGTATATTAGGTGATTGGGATAATGTTCTTTAATTGTTAATTGATTAAAAATTTATTAATTGGTTGATGTTTACTGGGCATAGAATTAATGTACTAGGACATTAATCCATGTTAATGGTCATTAATATCAGTACTTTTATTTGAGATCTTCCTGATTAAAATCAATGTCCGCCAAGCATTAATATTACGTCCTTGTACATTGAGTAATACTTTAAAAGCATTGTGGTAATGATTTTGAGCATCGGAGCAAAATTAATGTAAAAAATCATTGCGTTAATGTTTTTTTTTATTAATATTACGTACGTTTTTCGTTGTGTGTGAATCACAATCAGGAGGTCAAAATTATAAAGAAAACATGTCACGAACGTAAATATCGGTTCAGGTTTAGTTTTCGCAAATTTTTACCAAAATGTCATTTTGAAAAAGTGGTCTTTACTTAGGCCCCTTTGAAAATAATGGAAGTTTGTTGCTTGTCGCTTGTTCAGAATTATTCAAGGAACAATCTTTCACCATTTTATTTTCTTGTTCCTAAAAAGACTGAGTGTATTGCCTACCAAAAAGCCTTAAATGTATTTTTTGTAAAAAAATCAGATTTTCGTTGCTAAGATTCCAATTCGAAAAATTTAAAAACCTTTTCAAGGTAAGACTTAATACTTCATTATTTAAAGTAAAAACGAGAAAACATTTTTCTTTTTTCAAACGGGGCTTGGATGAAGTTATTGAAATTTTTCACCGTTTTACATATCACCCTGTAGGAAATTTACTTGAAGAACCGTGGGCTTCATATCTATAGCATGAATTGCCAGAGGATGGGGTTTGCAGATATCAAAGACCAAAATAAAATCGTTCAAGAAACGAAAAGGTTTTGAAAAAGGACGAACTTTTTGGACGCGACACATTGAGTGGTGCGCAGTTTAGTTAAAAAAGTCAAACTTTTTAAATTAATTTACTTAATTACCTACATAATACAAAGTTAAAAGTAAAAATATTTATTTTATTTGATTAATATAGACAGGGTAAAATAATTTACTAAAAAAATAATGTTATTTAACACCCCTCCCCCCTGGAAATAGTTTAACTACGAAATCCTTGAGACATTCCAAGATTAACAAATTTTTAAAATACACAAAACTAAGATGAAGAGATGTAGCATTTTTTGGTAAGCTAATCAGATTGCTATATTTTTATTGTCCTTGTTGAATTTATTTTACCCATTTTTTAAAAATAGTAATAATAAGTTTTACCCGTTTTCTGAAGCAATGAAATTTAAAGTAAAGGTTTAAGTTTATTCATGACTTTTTTTTGAAAAAGTTTAATTCACGAATTAAATCGCTGAATCAGTTAATGCCAACCCTGGTTTTAATTAGATATGTGCAAGACTTAATCTTGCACTCCTGTTCTTTTGGAGGACCAAAATTATTTTTATTAATGAGAAAAAATCTAAATTTACCTGTTAGTAAATTAGGATATTAATTAAGAAATACATAAAAAAATACATTTGGATATTAAAAAAATAATTTAATTACTCGATCTCTTCGGGCGTCCGGATGCGTCCGTTTATTGCTTGTCAAACAGGTTTTCAAAAATCTGACAAATTATTTTCAATTAATTATCACTGCCTTGAGATATTACTTACAATGTAATTCATAAATATTAAAACCAATAAAATGACTGGAACGCTTGTTTAATAAACCAATCATATTTGTAAATGCTAAAATTAACGTAAAGATTAATCAATTTTTCGAGTCTAAATATATTAATATGTTCGTAATTAAATTTCATACAAGATTGGGGGAAATTGTGGTTATCTTGTACGTTTGTATTGATTTTAGAAGTTCGACATCTACTATTCTTCAAAAATAATAATAATTTAGTTTAAATGATAACAAAACTAAGCAATTTTTTCAATTTCATAAAAAAAACATATACTCGTAATTGGCTATTGCGCAAAATTATTCCACTGACCCCGATAACGAAAACAAATGTTCCAGCTCTGTATTTTCTCATTAAAACCGAAGATCGGTTTTAATTCTAAAATATAATCGATAATAATCATACCACTTATTATTATTATTATTATGGGTGAAAGCAATAAATCATATTTTAGGAAAAAAACCGAGATAAATAACCAAACTATATTGTGTTTACCTTGGTATAAAGTAATCTATCAAATTTTTTAATTTCTCCCACAAACAAATATCCATCCTTATCGTAATATTTTGGGGGATAGAATAGTTGATCCCTACTTGCTTTTGGCACGTCTAAACCGTTTAAATCACTTAAACTGTTTTCTGTGTAACAATGGTGAATTTTAATCAATAAAATCACCAGAAAATAAAAAGGTACTCTCATATTTATTAGCCAAAATGTAATCTAATACTAATGTTTTTATTAGTTATGTTGGCTTTTATACGAAGTTGTAATAGGGGTAAATATTTGGTAATATTGTGGAATTTTTGTGGCCATATACTAAAAGTCAATATTTTTTTATTGTGGTATTAAATTGGAAACAAATATTTAAAAATGTACCAACTAATGGGATAATAATTACAGGGTTTAACACAAAATATTTAAATAAAGCTCCTTTATTTTATTTTATCTTATGCAACCAAAAATTAACATTTAATTTAAAGATGCAAATGCAAATAAAACTAGGTTATACAATTTTCTTTGAAAAATCGTTTTGTCAAAACCCGCTAATTTAAACTTTTTTACTTACTTGGTTATAAAGAAGTCTATCCATGAATTGGATATTTCCAACAAATAGGTGTCCATCTTGCGTCGAATTTGTAATGTTTGTTCTATTGTTCCATCCATAATTCGAATTTGGAGGATTCCACCCTGGCCTGCTGTTATTCCCATGATTTGGCAACCATCCAGGATTGTTACTATTCGGAGTGTTGTTCCAGTGATTTGGATGGGTCCAGTTATGAGTTGGTGGTATCAGTATTTGAGCTGGAATATACACTTGAGCGGTTAAATTTTGCACACATAGTAGCAAAATCGCAAAATATGGGAGCGACCTCATTTTTCTATAAATTTAGCAATCTACTTTTAAAATATGACAATATGTCTTTTATATTACTTACATTACACTATCGTAAAGGTGTAAACAAAAGATTAAGTTAAATAAATATTTGTTCATCAGGGTACTTTCCTTGTATTAAATCAAGATAAAAAACAGGTGCTCACAACATTAATCATGACAACTAATGTTACATTAGTAATGTAATTTTATTAAATTAAATATGCAATAAGTAATGATTATGGTGCTACCTTGGAAATGACTTTGGGTTTGTCTTTTTTTACAGACATTTTCTACATATGAGCTGGCATAGTTGTAAATAGAAAGAACAAACATATATTAGTTAAGTTTACATTTAAAAATCTGTTAATATAAAATAAGAATAAGTACATGTTTTTATTTATCTAAGAATTAATTTTAATAACAGTAAATATTTATTTTAGTGCAAATATTTACTGTTATTTAAATGATGTTTCTAGAATTTGATAATGGTTGGAGGGTAAAAATTTGATTAATCAATAAAAACTATAATTTCCAAACGCAAATTATGGACCGATGGAAAGATCATTTCCAAGAACTACTAGGACATGGACAAGAAATAGAAAAAGAAAACAATACAGAAAACAGCCAAGAAGAAAACATAGCAGAAGAACAACTAGAAAAAATAACAATGAAAGAACTGAAAGAAACAATAAAAACATTAAAAAATGGAAAAACACCAGGACACGACAAAATAACCACTTAGATGTGCAAGAATTTGGGACAAAAAGGAAATTAAATACTCCTAGACATATACAACAAAGTATGGAAAGAAGAAAAACTACCTACCGACTGGGAAATGGCTTTAATTGTACCAATACACAAAAAGGGTGACAAAAAGGATTGTAAAAATTATAGAGGAATAACACTACTAAGCACAGCTATGAATTTATTCGAACAGTTAATAGATAAAAAAAACTAAACCAATAGTTAAAAATACGCTGGAAGAATCGCAAAGTGGATTTCGAAAGGGAAGAAGTAGGTATACAAGATCACACTAAAACAATTAACACAAAAAATAATAAAGCAAGAAAAGAAATTATATCTGGGATTCATAGATATGGAAAAAGCATTTGACAGGGTTCCAAGAAAAATACTATTTAATATTAAATAATATTAAAAGAAAGAGGTATTAATGAAGAAACTATACAAATAATTAAAACAATTTACAACAATAATAAAAATGCAGTGATCAACAAAAACAGAATGTCAAATGTTTTTAGAACACAAGGACTAAGACAAGGGGGTGGATAAGTCCATTATTATTCATAGTTTTTATGGATTATATAATCAAAAAATGTAACCAGAAAAAAAAGTAATGGTGGGATACAAAAACTTACATAGGATAGAAATATCGGAAGGAGCGTTCGCAGATTATGGCAAGAAACCAAAGTGACCTACAGATAAACTTAAATATATGGAATGAAACCCTACAAGAATATGGCATGAAGATGAACATAGAAGGGCAAAAAGTAAATATAAAAATTAATGAAGAAAAAATAGAACAAGTAGAATATTTAGGGGTAGAATTAGAATATAATGGACGACAAGAAATAGAAATAAGCAACTTGTACCACGCAATGAAAAACAAATTTATAAGAAAGAAAGAAATCTCTAAAAGAACCAAAATAAATGTTTTTAAAGCCATATTTAGACCAATATTAACCTTTGGATGCGAATGATGGGTACTAAACCAAGCACAAAAATCAAAAATAGAAGCTTTAGAAATGAAATTTCTCAGGGACATTAAAAGGGTCACAAGGATGGATAGAATTAGAAATACTGTAATAAGAGAAGAACTAGAAATATAATCAACTCTAGAATTTATTGAAAAAAGGCAGCTAAGCTGGTGGGGACATTTAAAAAGACTAAAGGACAGCAGACAAGTGAAGCAGGTTTGGAAGGCAAAAGTCGTACAAAAGAAAAAGGGAAGACCTAGGAAAAGTTGGAACAAAGTAGTAGCGGACCCAATAGAAAGCAGAGGAATAACATGGGCAGCCGCAAAAACATTATCCATGAACAAGAAAGAATGGAGAAAATATGTTTATAGCTAGTAACACTAGCAAACCCTACACCACCAAGTGGTAAAAGGGAACAGATTATATATATATATACAAAAAAAAGTTATATACAAAAGTGCTCTTTTAGTTCCACCCTTACTTCTTAAGAAGTCCCATAAGCCAACTGAATGGCTTGTGCAGGTTAGGGGTAGGAACGGACCGCGGGCTTAAAGTCCCCTCCGAAGGACTAATACACAATAGGACAAACACAAATAAACAGCCATACCCCTGGTGGGATTCGAACCCACGACCTCCGGCTTGTAGTCAGCATGCACTAACCACTAGACCACCCTATATATATATATATATATATATATACAGGGTGTCCCAGAACTCGCGCCACAGAGAAAAAGGGGGCGTGCCGATAGCAATGGAGATGCTAAATTTAAAAATAAAAAATTTCTAGGTAATAGTGTAATCGAATGAGAGCAAAAAAGCGGCAGCCAATACCGAGAGATCTCGCCTAGGTTAAACGTAGGAGCTTTAAAAATTGCTAGGAGACGATAGAACATTGTTGTCTTAAAAACATTTAAAAATCTTTTGGCCAACTGTATTTACTAAGTTGTCAAAAGCTTTCAAAAATGAGGTTATTAATCTATGACTGATACTTCAGAACGCCAATGTTTTAAAGTAAAAAATCAAACCAGTTGTACTTTATTATTTAGCTTTTTTTGCGCCCACGCTCCCCATAAATAGTTATCATTTCGGTATAATCATCAAGGAAAACATTATTTATAATAACTTAATTTATTACCTAATAATGACAAAAGTAAAGATTGACAGCATTGTCAATAATAACTTAATTTATAACCTAATATAATATTAATGACAGAAGTAAAGATTGACAGCAGTGTTACAATGAATTGGATTCCAGTGAACCAAATATTTTACATATTTTTTATTATCAACAATGCAACCTAAGTATCCTAGCAATTTAAAGAATTCCCTGTGGTGATCTATTGGGATTGGCTATCGTTTTTTATTCTTATCTCCCTTATCCTTTGCGTTGGACAATTTGAATTTTTAAATATGTGTTTCAAATTACTTTCGGTACGTTCCCTTTTTCTCTGTGGCGCGAGTTCTGGGACACCCTGTATATATATATATATATAATTTCTACTATAATTTCCTTGTAAAAAAGTTTTTGGCTGATTTTTAAACGTTCTTTAAAGTCAAAATAGGTAGTTTAATTTTAATTATTAAAATTTTTTAAGTAATTTTAGTTTCTCAATAAAACATTTTTTTTATTAGTAATGATATTTTTATTACAAAATAAAGTTTAAACATTGTCATTAAACATAAAATGGCCTCCTGGGTTTCTTGGACATGAAACCATTTTTTTTACAGAAGTTTTTGACTAAATTTTCACATAAATGATATCCAACTTCACCAATAGCTTGTCGAATATTCTCTTTTAATCGTGGAAGTGTTAGTGCATCGTTTTTATAGACTTTTCTCTTTAAATTACCCAAAAAAAGTAAGGTGCTGCTAAGTCGCACGATCTTGGTCGCTATTTCGAGAGATCAAATGTGACATAATCTTGTTAAAATCACATGTTTTCCAAAGCATTTAAATCCAATTCAATGTCACCACATTTCCAGCTGCATTTGTGTCTCTCCAAATGGCGACCAAAATCGTGCGACTTAACACCACTTGGCATTTTTCTTCGGGGTAATTTGAAGAGCAAAGTCTTCGCAAACAATTCACAAACGCTTTCACAGTTAAAAGACAATATTTGACAAGTTATTGGTACAATTGGATAACATTTATGTAAAAATGTAGTCCAAAACTTGGTAAAAGAATGGTTTCTGTCCAAGAATCCGAGGATATTATATATATATTATAGAACATGTTTGTATATTATATATATTTTGTAATCAAAATATCATTAATTGAAAAAATGTGTTTTATTAAGTAATTCAAATTACACCTCTCGTTGAGATCACCCTTCCTTAAAAAAGTGCACTGAAAGAAATATATGTTTGTTTTAGCAATGTATGTGGTTCATATATGGACTACCACATACATTGCTAAAACAAACATATATTATATTTAGTTTTAACATAATATGCTAAAACTAAATATAAAAATGGTTAAGGTAAATATATTTTATGTTTCATATATGGACTACCACATACATTGCTAAAACAAACATATATTTCTTTCAGTGTGTCTTTATTATTGTTAAGAAGGATTAACGATGTGTATCGCGAACAATAGTAAATTTATTACGTCGAGGATTCACCTGAGGCGCAAGTTTCCTTGTGCACTAATAACACACATCATATACCCACTTGACATCGCATGCATACACATGGGTGCGTATGATTTTATAACTGCCATAAATGGCGGCACGAGAGGAAAACTGGCGTTTAATTTACAATTTCACTCGGCAAAAAATTGTCGACGTCAGATAAAAGAGAAATTTAATTATTTATCGGGAATAGCCGCGGAGAAACCACGTGTTTGCCATTTCAAACGGAATACGCAAATATTTTTGATGCCGCGGTACACAGTACGTGCACATCCTCAATGTCAGACGTGACAGGTTTCAGAACCGATCCCAAGTTTTTCTAAAGAGAAATTTTAGATATAAATACCTAACTGATTAGAATGTATGTATTAAAACCTATTTTAGAAATATTTCAATTTTCTTTTTATCTTCAAATATATTGTCTATCCATTGAAAAAAAATCAACAAAAATTTTTCAAATATAAAAAAATGCGTTCAAAAAATATTTAATGTTAAAATTAATTTTAGTACGAAGTATAAAACATAAAAGCATGCATCTAAGAGCGAACCTGTTTATTCATTTCACGAGTTTTTAGAATAAATTTAGAATGAATGATTCACATTGGATTATTATAGGTTTTGAAAATAATCAGTCATGATGTGAACTTTATTTTTGTTGAAACAGTTAAAACAAAAATAAAGTTATACTATAGGATATATAGG